TTCATGCATTTGTTTAAGATTTTACATATACTATTTCCTCTTTTGCTCAATGTATTACTATTGCAAAACATATTAAATATTTAATATCTTTTTAAGAAACTGCGATCATCAATCGTTACCCGCAATCATTTATTATTTAAAACGAGAATAAATGATGATATTAATTAAGTAACTTTCATACATATATATATATATATATATACATAATTGATTATATAATATTATGTAGTCTTTAGGTTAATATTGTATTTAAATAAATAATAGTAGTTTGCTAATTATGTTTAATGAGTTCGTTAATATTAAAATGGAGATTAAAATAAATAATAATAAATGAAAATTCATATTATTATGTAATTAATACATTTTAAACTAGTTAAACGTAATATAATTACAAGTCTATTAGTACGCTATTGACAATTTTAATTGTGAAACTTTATCTTATTTCAATTTTCTGCGATATTTATTCAGGTTTTTAATTTACAATAAAACACATAATTTAATAAAAGTAGTTTGCAATATTCTAATCGATACGATGTTTGCAAAACAAAGTTTAAAGCTTAAAACTAAGTATGTGATAAATGTAAATTCTCTTTATTTTACTTTGACTCCATGGCATCTTTTTATCTAATGTATTTTATAAATTATTCTTAAAGTGTAATAAAAATGAATGAAAAAAGTCTTAGTTATTTCAAGATAAAATACTGTATATATAATAAAATAAAGTAAAATTTCAGAATAAATAATGTTTTATAAAGTATAAACGCTTATAAAAATTTTGATACAACATTAATTATATTACATGAATCAGCGTTGCATAATATAAAATTTGAAAATACAAACATGTTATTTCATTATATGGTTTTTTTTCTTTTGTTTCGAATTACTGACTAACTCGCATACTTCTGAAATAATTAAAATTTTTAAATTTATGAACATATGGTGTCATTGGAGATGTATCAAATATTTTATACTCGTTTTAAATTATTTATAAATTAATACTATCGTCTACCCAAAAACTGCCTTACAATGAAAACTTTTTCTGCTGATTGGATATTTATTTTTGTATTTATGAATTTGTATCTTCATTTTCATTTGGATAATTTTTAATCAGATAAATTAAATACATAAATATTTCTGATTATAACAAATATTCAACTAATCATTAAATCAGATAGTCAACTTTTAAAGCAATCAATAAAATAATTAGCAAAAACTTAATCGTTGAAATTTAGAATTTTTCTTAAAAAAAATTTTCGTATACTTTAAATAGTAAATAAATAATTAATTTTGATATGTCTTTAGAATTTCATAGTTCAAATTAAAAATTTTTTTAGATCTTCAACCTTTGTTTATGTTTTGTGTTGAAATATTAATAAATTGAAAGAAAATTATATTCCACAATTTCTTATATATAGATATATATATGTGTGTGTGTGTGTGTGTGTGTGTGTGTGTGTGTGTGTGTGTGTGTGTGTGTGTATATTATTGTATGTAAAAAATTTCGTTATTTTATTAATTATAAAATCTAGTAATTGACAAAATTGTTATTGAATCGATTCTTAACTTTATAATCTTATTCATAATGCTTAATTTATTTAACCATTATTCGTTAAACAATGTGTAGTAAAATAATGATTTTGATTGTAAAAATAAAAAAAAAAAATAAAAAAAAAAAAAAAAAAAAATTAAAAACACTACATTTTCAGTAACTTCGTTTATTTGATGTGAAATATTCTTGCCTATCGCGTTCATGAATAAAAAGCGTACAAAATTCGAAACAAGGTCCCGAAAGAAAATCTTTTCGAAAGAGCAGATAATTCTTTAATCGGCAGTGTCGATTATTATCTTCGTAAGCATTAAGAAAATTTAGAAATTTAGATAAAATCTTTAATATTCAAAGTCACGCGCTCGAACAATGCATTCTTTTGTATTTGGTATCTGCTGCTCGTGAGCTGAACTTTACTAACTTCCGCCGAATAGCTCCATGCAATTCTTTGGATTATGCTGCTGTAAGACACACGATACTGTCTACCGAAGCCATAATGATTCAAATGAGGGTAAATTGAAAATGTATATTCCCTCGTAATCAGCTAGTCAGCTAGTCATGGTGTCTCAACAAAGCCATAATTCTAACTGGAAAGCTGGGAATAGCTAACGCGCGAGCGAGCCCAGGCTAACCAAGATAGAGAGTAGCGGGGATGCGTGTTTTGAATTTCGATAAAACCGCTAGTGACGACTTTATTGCAAAAATAAAAAGAGCTGCCTGTCGCCGCTTTTCGAATATGTCCTAATTCTAGGAATAAAATTTAATTTACATGGAGAATAATTTCGATACGTGAGGACGAAAAATACGTAATAACGATAAATGAACATTACACAAGTTATTCGAAATTCAATTTAAATCCATTATTTGCTTACTTACTCAGACTAATAGCGTAATAATTAATTTTCTACATTAAACGAGTCTATTTCTCTATTATATTAGCTCACGAGTGTCTCAATTAGTTAATGACAGATACAGGTAATTGGGTATTACTTAAAAGATTTAACCTTGCCGATTAAAGATTTTACTCGCTTATTTCCCTTTCTAATGAAAAACTTTTCTATTCTGTTTTTTTTTCTTTCTTTCTTTCTTTCTTTCTTTCTCTATTTATTTATTTTTTTTTTTATTTATTTATTTATTTTTTTTTTTATAAGATTTAGTTTTTCTTATATTGATACTCGTAATATCACCTGGTACCTTCGCAATACCTCTCCACTTAAATTACATATATTATAAATTGGCTTTTGTTTCGAAAACTAGGGCCTACTTGGAAAAATGTCGAAATAAAAGTTTCATTATTTTGTATTATATGAATCGTACCACCGTACTTTTATGAAAATTAACGATAAATATTCTTGACATTCGTTGTATAACATTATTATAAAAGCTTTCTTAGATCGAATAATAAATAAAAGAATTTAAGTTGAATTAATTAATGAATCTGACAAGGCTACCGATCGCACACCGTAATCCACAAATTGAGAATAATTACATGCGGACATTGAAATTTTCTTGGATATACAAAATAGATGGAAATAAACGTATCGAGGATAAATGATCGATGAAATAATTAAGTAATACGACCGAAGGATATATCCAGATCAATCAGCATATGCTGTAATTTCAATTGTAGATGTACATTTTAAAGCAAAATCCAATTAGATTATCAGACTAATAAGTTAAATTAGACAATAATTGTTTTGTAATAATTACATTGCTAGTTGCGTGTTGATGTTTTGACGAATAATTTATTTATTGATCTAATTCTTATTCGTTAAATTTCGTGATTATATATTAAAAAAAATAATATAAAATAAAATAAAAAGTAAAAAATAATAAATAAATAAATAAATAAATAAATAAATAAAAGTCATTGTAGGTAGAAAAACAATGATATTATCGCAGTAGTTTTTAAGCGATTTTTCTTTTTCAACTACAAATAGTTTGGAAGATTTTCTTGGCATAGCATAACTGGAATGCCGTTGTTCAAAGCAATTCTTTTTAAAAATATTTTGTTCGTATAAATAATTGAATGTTTTCTCGTAACAATGGAGAAACTTTGGATTTTTCAACAGTGCTGCCGGTATAGCAATTTCAAGCGAGCATGTACCTTAGTCGATATCATAAAAGTCGCAAAATTCTTTATCTCCCATGTGAAATGAGCAACGTTCAGCAACATCAGCCGCACTACACACGATTACAAGTCTTAGCCAATTATCAATGTTTCTATCGCCAATAGACAATATTTGATACTCCCAAAGCGTATGTAATTCATAGAAGCACTGAAGGCCTCTAGGTATTTGGATTTCATCAGAAACGAGAGCGTATAGATTAAAGTCGCCATCCTAAGTAAGAAAAGTCGCGCAAATCTAGCAAAGGATGTTCGCATTTAGAATCGCTGGACTGCGTAAACGTGACGCACGTCGCGTATACGAGCCTTTTTCAATTTTACGTAAAAGTATCCTCGCTCCCAATGCAAAAAAAAAAAAGAAAAAAAAGAAAAAAAAAGAAAAAAAAGAAGCCGCCGAGACATACGCACCGCTTCGATAATCCAGAGTGGCGAGACAATGACGAGTTAAAGAATCCTGCTTCACACGTCGGCATTTCGTTGGGAGAAAATCGCGGCTTTTCCCGTGATGTTAAGCGGCTTCTCGTAAGGTGGTGTCACCTATGTAATCTCACCACTTCCCATTCCGTTCGCCAGGTGAAAATAATCGGCGCTTACGTGTTGCGTAATTGCGTCGACGCGGCGCGTGTCGGTAACAAACAAAGTCGATCGGAGCTTTGGCAGGGCGACCGCGCGTATTCCAGTGCGATTCGGGCGGAAAACAAAGCCGACCGCCGCCGGCGATTCTTACCTCGAAGCCGAGTATTTGGCATGGTCCCCGAGGTGGGCGTGCGGCTCGGGGGCGGTCCCTTGGAGCTTCCGGGCGGCGGAGCGTCATCCCGTCGTCGCGGCAAAAGCGGCATTACAACATCGGCGCGCGGCGCCCGTAGTTTTCTATCGATTTGGCGCCGCAGGGCGGCGGTGGCGGTGGCGGCGGCGAGGGGGTTTTGACGAAGCGTACGAACGGCGTGGTTGGGGGGGGGGGGGGTAGGGAGGGCGGGGCGGCAGCGACGGCTACGGCGGTCGTGGCGCCGGTGAAAGAGGAGGTTTGAAGAGGTTGGTTTGTCGTGGGCGGTTAAGGGGCGGGGGAGGGGGACGGGAACGGGGACGGGGAGGGTTTTTCTTTTATTTTGGCGGGGGATCGAAGAATGGGGGTGGGAGGAGGATTGGCAGGAGGCGAAGGTGGTGGCGGCGGCGAGGGAAACGAGCGAAAGCATCCCGCGATTGTGTCCCGAGGGGGGAACTTTCTCAGCGGTGGCTTTTGCCTGGCGCTCACGTACACCCCTAAGGTAGGAGCGGAGCGCCATTTTCGCGGCCGCCGTGCGACTACGCGAGACCGCCTATATAAATGCCCCGTTGAGAGCGAAGGAGCGAGCACACGCGAGTGGACCGAGCGAGAGCTTAAACCTCGACGATATTATTTTGTACGCTGGACAGAGCGACGCGGCAATGAAGGCCTTCATCGTAAGTACTGAGCGCGAGCCAAGTGAACCTACGCGTGTGTTCGTCTCGTCCTCGGATCATCCACACCCTTTTGTGACGATCATATTTCATATTATCAGTATACAGCCCCAGTGACATTTTGCCCGGGATTTCATTGTTGAATTGACATTGAGGTGTCTTGGAATTTAATGCTGAGATTAGGCGCTCGAGTGTTTTGGATGGGAATATCGGTTATAGGGATATCATGTCGCATAGCAGAGATATCGTTGACGGTTCTCATAATCCAATTCTCTTGTTTAAAGGATAGCCGAACGCGTTTAGAGATATTGTCGAGCAACGTGTAACATGCAGTGGTTTCGTGTTTTTTTGTTTTTTTTTTTTTGTTTTTTTTTTTGTTTTTTTTTGTTTTTCTTTTGTTTGTATTTGCCGCTTTTTTGTTTTTTGTTTTTGCCGTTTTTTTGTTTTTTGTTTTTTTTTTTCTTCGAGTACTGGGAAGGTATGTTGCTGTGGTCGGATCGGTCGCTCCTTTGATCGAATATTAATCTGTCGGGCAGACAACTTTTACCGATGCACCCAATTACAAAAAGCAGTCGCGCCTTTTATCCGTAAACTAGTTCTTTTACTCTCATTATTATGTCCAGGTGTGTACGCTCGTTTTTTATTTATGGCAGGCGTATGACTTAATTTTTGGCTTGATACAAATGATTTTTCAAAGTTTATCTATTTTTACATCTTAATCACCGTGGCGATGTAAAAGTCCGATTTCTTAATTAATGAAACGCGATTATAATACATGTTAGTGCCACATTGAAAATAAATCTATTAATCTGGGTGATTTAAAAAAAAAAAATTTTTTTTTTCATCGAAATTGTTTTTTGTATGTACAGAGATAGGCGTTGCAGCTTTCATTCATGTGGAATGATGATTTGAAATTATCGTCCGTTGAAATGGGAAATAAAACACTCTGTACGAAATTTTGCAAGTTCATTTTCTGAATTTACTCGAAATTCAGAATAATTTCATATTATGGTGTTGCACAATCGATATCAAATTCCATTCCAATACAGATGCACGTAAATTTTTTACATTAAATTAACCGGATTATTGCTCTTTATCGCTTCAAATTAAAAGCTACCAAGAAATATTTTATTTTCATGAACTTTCCTTTCTTGGGCTTTTTTTTTCTTTTTGATTAAAGAATAATGAACATTGATATATTATGAGAACATATTTTTCTTCTAATCATTGAACTGCTCCAATTTGATTTAACGACGATGACATAATCAATGATATAATTATTTTAATTCGAATCGGTAAATTGTATTAGTATTTAATGGACAAAAATTCATAGATTACTCCAGTAATACTATGTCATATTTCTTCCAGTTCACTCAAATATTAATACGATAATTGTAATATTACATTAATATTCTTTAGTCAACATTTTCCATTTGATCATTATCTAAAATTATTAGAAAGTCGCATAAATAATAATCATTTTTCTTTTTTTATATTTCCGCAGCTAATAATTACCATGCAGACAGATATTTGCAAAATAGATATAAGCGAGTAGTGGTATAACTTTATGTTACTAAGGAACCCGATCGTAAAAATGTAACAATATTATGACCGACAAAAATTAAAAATAATATCCACAATAAATGATCTAAACAATGGCAATAATAATTTCTCTAGCAATAGAAAGTTTTATTATTCATAATATATAATCATGTTTTCGACTCCCACTAATGTAAAGAACAAACACAGAAGAGTTAAGAGTATAATGATATCTTGACGCACGCCGCACGTTCGCACGCTGCACATTAAAATAATCAACAATTAGTGTTTTATCTGAGCTAATCAAGTAGTATAAAAATTGCCGCCACTGACGTCACATTGGCCCGTCGACAAAATAAGTTAATTTTCCCGTAAAATAACAGCGAAAAAAAAGAAGAGAATAATAATAACTAAATTCAACAATAATAAAAATAATAAATGCGTGCAATGTGGAAACCGGTATAGAATATCACAACACGTATTCCAAAAAGACAGATTCGTCCAAGTAGAAATCGCAACGGCTTATCCGAGGAATTGAGTAAAGAGCTCTTCGAAAGAACATTACGCGTTTAAAAAAGGACTGAACTGTCTCTCGCCGCGCACAAGATTAATCGGCGATGTGCAAAAGAACGAAAAAGGAAAGAGAAAAAAAAAATGGAAAGAGAAGGCCGGCACGCAATAACTGAAACATATAGAGTCACAGCCAGGGGGTCTCGCAGTAGCGTTGGGCAATGTAGCCTCGGGAGGACTAAGGCGTAATCTGCGTTTTCTCTCTACGGAAACAATTAGAGCGCGTGCGCATTTCACCGGGGAAGTGCGTCGACGCGATAATTCAGCGGCACGTGAGTACGATTTGCGCCGGGAAGTGGGAAAGCGCTCGGGCGAAATTAGGAAGCGATTAGCAGGCGAAAGTGCCGCTGTCATCTTGCATTTCGATCTCTCGTCATCCCATTTGACTTCGCCTCGCCTTTATGCGCACGCGCGCGATTCTATGCGTTGATTTCCGCTACGGATGGTTGATAATTGTTGATTTTATTGAAATACACTGGATTAAGCGCTTAACATTAAGCATACAAAGATATCTTTGCTTCTTTGTTTTACATACTAATGTTATTAAACTATTATTCATCGTCGCTGGGCAATTAATTGTCAATCAGTATTACCGGCTGATTTTTACAAATGATTTTCAAAGATTATTAATCCCACTGTCTTATGCAATTTATAATGACGGCCGGGTCGCTTATAATATAAATATTTCATGTTGTATAAAATGTTCACGCGCAAAAGATTTATCGGAAGATCTTTCGCATCTAACATTTTTAACTTGTAATGCACATGTATGCACTGGTAAACTCCGTCCTTTACCAAGTTTCAATCAGCTAGATAAGCGTGGGTGTATCGATAATCGTGTATTTATTAATGAAAAGCCTTTTGCTTCAATGAAACGAAAATAATTCGCCCATGCGATTGCATAATTATTCACGTCTCTACCACCTTGACTGGTATTTGAAATAAGTGGAGCATTTCGTTTGGTTTTCGGTCGGTTAGTGATCGTGACCGTGTACTTCCAATTCTTTATTCTGTTTTGGCTGGCGTGCACCAAGCACCGGGACCATACGAATCATTAAAAGCGGAATACTTTTTTACGATGTAAATACCAACAAAGCATCAAAATTTTCAAATCAACTATTACTTTCACTCCAATGACTTGCTTTAACTTACTGACATCATTCATAATACGTTGTTGCATTATAAAATCCTCGACGTTAAATTAAAATTGAAATCACACTTGGGAGCTGACTGGAACTACCTGTAAGAACGTACATTTATCATATGGCGATATTAGCCTGATGAATCATAAAATAATTACGATCGAGTACTGATTCGATTAATAAAGTAATTTCTCTTTGAGAATCCGTATGCATCAATTAGTTTTCTATTTAATTACATATACCCTTGTAAAATTTTCACTTTCAATTTTGTCGATATCGCGCCATGAAAGATTATAACAACACGATTAAACAAAAACGTTCGCCTTCAAAATAACAATAAATAACAAGTAAATTCTAATAGAGAAAAAGTGTTTTGTTTCCACTCCCTATTCTCAGTGATGCCTAATCCTTATAAGAATACTGAGAGTCAACATTTTATATTAATAACTTATATTTATATATATATATATATATATATATATATATATATATATCTATTATTATTAATAATAATAATAATATTATTATTATTATTATTATTATTATAAAACAGTGATAAGAATATATTGTATATTGTTAATTTATATAAGGCTTTTTATTTTTGCATGCTCGCGAAATAAAATAATATGTATAAAAATGAAAATAGTTATAATAATCGTGTGTAATTCAAAATAAATTTATATTATTATATGGTAATTATTCAGGAGTATACCACTTAATAATTTCTATACAATTTGAGGATATATAATTATACTCCTCATTTTTGTCCCCGAGTTCGTGTTATTTTGCAATAAAAGCGCGTGCACTAGAGTAAATCATTATTTCATTGAAATCCCGAGCTTGTATTTACATAAAACCGACAATTTTTAGATTATATATATACACACACATATGTAATCTTCGACAAGCTTATTACACAGTCTAATAATAAGTTGGTCACGTGACAATTTAATAGAAAGTCTATAATTTATAACATATGACGTGCAATGTTTACATGACGATATGCCGTTAAGTAATTTGTGTGCGAGAGGATAACGAAACGAAAGTTCGAATCTAAGCTTAGAACACAAGCCTTGCGAAATGCAGATGATGCGCCCATCTGTTTACAGATACTGGCATTGACGGGGATGGCGATGGCCCGACCGGAACCACCCTCCTCGTACTTCCCCTCGGTAGCCGACACCAGCGGCGGAAACTACCCCCAGTCGACCTACGGAGTGCCCCAACAAGCACCCGTGATCCACAAGCACGTGTACGTACACGTACCACCGCCCGAGGCACCCGAGTACAAGGCCCCCAAATACATCGCCCCCGCTGCCCCGCCCCAGAAGCACTACAAGATCGTCTTCATTAAGGCCCCGACTCCACCAACACCAACTGCCCCAGTACTGCCACCGCTGCCCCAACCCGACGAGGAGAAGACCCTCATCTATGTTTTGGTGAAGAAGCCCGAAGAGCAGCCTGACGTCGTAATACCGACTCAAGCACCCACCCAGCCAAGCAAACCCGAGGTTTACTTTATCCGTTACAAGACCCAGGTACGTCCGGCATTTTTCATCGAACATTTCATTTGCTCGGCATTATTTTTCCTACATTTTTTGTCACTGTTTCGATAATTTAAGACGTAAATTCTAGTAGCTTCGTTCGAGTTGCCAATCACTGCATAAATTGACTGCTTCATTAAGAGACGACAGTATTTTTGAAATATCAATTACTTTCTTCTTACGCTCACGTGAGATTAGAAATCGAGAATGTAATAAAACCCTTGTCTTGTATTATCAGTTTATTTAATCTAAACTATAGAAACATTATACACCATCATTAGCTCAAGAAATATTCAAAAATTTTAACTTCATAAGCATCATCAAAGATACTTAGTTCATTTAATGACGATAATAATCTTAATTGGCACTTAATGCTAATCGTAAATCGACAAGACTACTTACATTTGCTAGTATCTTTATGATAAAGTAATTTTATACGGATGTAATACGACTTTACGTTAATTTACACCATAAAATAAGCATTTATTGCGCTGCCTTGATATTAAAATTATATTTCAATGTATATAATATATTTATGAAAATTAATGTGATAAACATCTGTAGAAAACTAAAAATTTTTACACATTGTTCGGCTGATCGTTCAATCTAATGATCATTTCGTAAAAAATCTACTGTATAATAATATAATTATATAATAATAGTATATAGAAAGCGAGATATCATAAATTATATGTTAATATCAATTTTTTAATTGACAAGTTCATATTTAAAATCGTAAAAAATTTTATTTAAACGCATTTGCAACATTTTCATTACACAGTTAAATTTTCATTTTGTAATGCAATTATGTACTTAATAATAGGGGATTCAGTTACAAAAAAAAAAAAAAAAAAAAAAAAAAAAAAAAAAAAGAAGAAGAAGAAGAAGAAAGCTTTAGAAAGATTATAAATATTTGAATATTGCAATTTTTTAATTAACAAACGATAATTGTAATATATCGATGATGAGTATAGATTTTATATAAAGTGATTTCTTAGTTATAAGATCGTGGAAATATGTAATTGGTATTGCATATCACATCTATTCGAATATTTAAGAAATTCAATATACACTATTAACAAATAAAAATTATAGTATTAGTAATTAGTATTAAATCTCAAACACATACGGAATATTATTAAAAATAATAAATAACGTATAATATAATAAATATAATTATTATAATACAATGAAATATAGTAAATAATGAATAGCGTATATCGATTTCCTTGATGCCTCATTAATTTTGTATATGAATATTGGACAATATAATAGTACATAAAATATAATTATTATTGGTACATGAAAATTATTAATTTCATAAAACTTCACAAAGTTATGTAAGCTTAATCAGATAAAAATAATTTTGTTGGTATTTCAAATTCAATATTATACATTTTAATATTAGTAACGTAAAGTAAATTGTTATAACAAACCAACAGTACAAGTAAAAACTGATTATTTATAAAATATAATAATCATATTATATATATATATAAAAGTATTGTTATAATAAATGCTTAAAAAATATATTGAAATCATAAAGTAAATTATAAATTCGAATTCTCATACACTTGAAAATTCAAAGCCGATTAACATTTTAATGTACATCCATTACTTGTGAAATTCTTAATTTACATAATAAAAATCGAATAGAGCCTTCTATTACATTTAATGAATAATTATAGAAAAACACGTAAATTAAAATTAATAAATTGATCGGAAAAATGTGTGACAATCGTGATGTGATGGTATTTAGAAAAAAAAAATTGTTCTGCAATAAAGATATATCAGAAAATATTTATATGCAAAAACCCATCAAATAACGTACATATTTAATTTTCGTGCACATATACAAGCTTAAAATTGATATTTGTAACGACTTGTTACATGATAATAAATTAAATTCAAGAATATATATGTGTATATTTTTTTCGACTTTTTTTTTTTTTAAATTTTCAATAATCGTTTCGACATAAATATTCTCAAATATCTATTAAAAATATCTGCGCGAAGCAAATTAATTGAATATTTATTGAAAAAATTCCATAAATAGAAAATTAATTATTTTGTAACTATTGATTATTAATATGCCACGACTGTGATTGAATTGACATTTAGATTTATAAAAATTCTATTCTTAAAATTAAAGTATTCTTTATATATTTACATCATTGTTGATATTTATATTAATCGTTATACATATTGCACGCGTTTCTACCTGATAAAATTGCTCGAAAATTAATGTGACTTTCCCTGCAAACGTAAAAGTGCTAACACCGTGTAACAATAAGTTAAACAATCGACCATATCATTTATAAAGTCTTTGTCATATTGCAATTGCTAATTTGACTTGGCAACAATCGTTATTGTACGTACGGTGATTTCTCAAAACGTCGTTGGCATTTCTTAAAGTAGTGTGTGCGTGTGTTATCTGCAGTGCCATCGCCCTCGACGTACCGTTAGCCAATGCTAGTCGAAACAATTGCTTGTAAGCCTTAGGACTATCATTGAAAATCTCTCGACAAGCCCAGCTTATATAACACCGAGAACCGGCCATTTTAATTAACAGCCACTGCTTTGATTTAAATGTTAACAGAAGGAGCAATCCGCAGCATACGGACCCCCTAGCGCTACTCCTGGTACACCGATCGATAATTACGGGCCTCCAAGCGATGGCCCTTACTAAATCAGCCGCCGACCAACAAGAGTCTTCGATTCTAAGCGTCATTAATGAATCATCTAAAACGTTGTTCGAGCCCGCAGCTTATATAACGGGTATTCGATTGTCTTTGAATAGTCGGTGCAAGCTTTCTTCGCGTAACAGTGTTAAACAATACTCTGTAATGTTTCACCATTTTACCATGTCCCATGAAAAATAACATCGTATGAAAAAGGAAAAGAATCTCGTGGATAGTATTCGGATGCGACCGAATCGTTGAAATGATATCACTATCATCAATGTCAATCTATCGTCGATGCAAAATTAGTATCTGTGCATAAAGGGCCCACTGTCCCAACTTTCTTTCGCTGCCTAAAATGTGTCGCCCAGCATAATCGCAAAGTGTCCGTTAAGAATTGTGCTGGTTTGCCGACTGATTGCGAATCCTTGTTTTTTTTACTCTGATGTGCTTTCGCGGATCCGAGGAGCGTTGAAAAAAGTGAAAACATGCGCCCAGCAAGCGTAAATTATATTTTAGAGCAGTTAAAACCTCTTCGAGTACAACGGGATTCTTTCTCTCTAATGAGCATAATGAAATTATGATTTAACGTTAAATATTACTTTTTCCGTACATTATAAATGGCACCGGTTTTGTTCTTCCGAGTAAGCTATATACATATATATATATATATATATATATATATATATATTTCTCGGGCAAAATTTCGTAATCATGCGGCAATACTATTTAGATAAGTACATCTTTGTATATAATTTTCTTTTTTTATACTTCGAAACCGAGAATACATCATGAATGCTTGATTTTCCTCGCCAACGAAGCGAGGCGAGTTCGAGATGAACTATTTTTTTATATAAAATAATAATTAATGATAAAATAAAAAAAAAATAAAAATAATAATAATAATAATAATAATAATAATAATAAAATGCAAAAATGATGGATATTATGTATTACAAAGTCATGTAAAATACATTCTTTATTATTCTCAAACATTGAATTTTTTCTTTTACATCTATTTGCCTTTTAATTTTAAGTTCACACAAAACATGGTTACACGCATACATACAAAATTCACTTTTATAAATACGTAATGTATATATATTCTGTAAAACGCACTTCAGTAATGTAAAATGGAAATATTAAAATTATTGTTTTATACATATGTATTAGTCGTCATTAATCCCTTTCATTTGTGCATGCAAAACAACTGCGATCAAATACAACATGAATTTATTATCAATACTGTATTTTTTTTTGTACGATGATAGCACATACAAGAGATACGCACATCCATACACTGGATAAACATACAAAAGATGAGTTCGTAAATCAATATTTTACGATAGATATGTAGCATAACGATTATTACAAAATAATTGTTGAACAGGAAAGTCCTGTCACAAAATATATTAAAAAAATAAGACCGCTTAGACCTTACACATTTTACTTACGATGTATATCAACAAATTAATAACATAAATGTTTACACTTTACTTATGCATATTACATCAATATCGCTAAATATCTATATCATAAATAAGATTTTTGTTCTATTTTTAAATATATCTTTTTTCATCGTACATATCTATTTAATTATAATCAGACATTTTCAAGTTTAAACTCAATTATTTTAATCTATTGATTCCGACTAGACGGATAGGTAATTGTGATGAAACGTCTATCTTAATCCATCTGAATCTTTGAACTATAACACACACACACACACGCGCGCGCGCATTACGTCACATTTTTAATAATTATTTAATAAGGAACACTTTGGGAAGTATGTATAAATGTAAAGATAATAGTAGTATCGTTGTATAATAGTTGATAACTCGTACGGTTCAACTCATGACACATTAGAAAAGTGCGCAACCGTTCTTAGCTACTTCATATCACATCGGTCGATCGAATAATCGCATTGTACAATCCTCATAATCGCCTATCTAGAATACATATACCAAAGAATTGAGCCAAGCATGAAGTTGGGTAGACGTGATGAACAAAACGGCCAAAGTGGCGTGGACGTGAAATTAAGCGCAGCTTGGCAGGTGCGCGTAGGTGTCAGGACGACTCGTTCGCTCGCGTTCCCACTCGTTAATTACGACTTATCGGTACAAGGAAGCTTCTCGGTGGAACAAAAGGTGGAAGCGGCGGGTAGACGAGTGAAAGCCACAGATTCATACAAAGGCGATTGGGAAAGGCGAGCGGACGCTTCCACGCACGTAAATCGCTCGCGCGGTGTTTCTCTTGCGTCAGGACTATCGTCCCCTCTGCCGACTACTGCCGACGATTGCCACCGCCCGCTCGACGCGTGTACATTGTCTGTCTGTGTGCGCATTGCTCTCCAAGCCGTGCATCGGCCCTTGATCGGAAAACGTGCGCTTCATACCGATGGACGCACGAGCGTGGAAGAGGCGAAAGTTTGGCAATTTTCGCGATTTTAGCCTTTACTAGTGAGCGCTCAATTACAGCTGAAACTGTTGCGTAATTTCCGGAAATTTAGCCGCGCGCGAGTTGACATCGATCGATAACGTGTTCTGGAATACTTACTCTCACGTATTATGTTCCTCGTGAGTTTCAATTCGACATCCAGAGCTTCGAATTTCCTTCAACTCGTATTTGACGCTTTTCTTTCTCTTGTGTATTCAATTCATGAATTATTTGTAAATTCTTTAGAAAACACTTCCTATTAGATACTAAATAAACATGTTCAAAAAATAATGCTGCAAATTCTTAAATCTATTTAAATGTAAGAATTATAAAACTACGATTATTTTTTTTTAATTTAAGAATGTGGTTGGTGAATTTTCTTAGAATTGCAAGAAAATATGATACTTCGACTTTATACGACGATAAATTTTATAATGAGAGAACAGTAATTTTTTCACGATAAAAGTAAATGATAACTATAGATAATATATCTAATGTGTTGTTAATTAGTAAAATGATTACTAATATGATCGCTTTAATTATAATCATCTCAAATCATCTTTTAAATATAATGTGATCATTTGTGATAAATTTATTGTCATAAATGAACCAAGGCAAACAATTATTTTTAATAGATATAATTCTTTCTTTTTTCTTTTTAAGTAAATATAATTATATACACCTAGGAAAATATATTTTGCTTTAAATATGTTATTACGTAGCAAAAAAATTATTGGTTATAACGAATACTCTAATTTCCAATATCACTCAATTATTACAATTCTTTTTAATAGAATTTATATCATGAATAGAAATGTATTTCAATATAAATAGTTCATTTGGATAACAAACTTATTCACATCTGACATATCGGTGTAGTGACAGATGGAAGCAAAGTCAAATTTACAAAGTAAATAAAATACATGAATTCGGAAGATTTCAACACAATATAAAAATTTGATGATTACAATGGCATTGACTCTGTTTAATCAGAGCTAAAGATATAAATTTTGTCTTTATATGAAAGAAAGTTTTTTTTTATAAAATCACTTGTTTTTATCATAGGATAATGGATTTCGAATTCTTATAAATTTACGCTTATTGATACAACAACGAAAACCACAGACTCATCGTTTTAACAATAATTGTCTATTTATAGCTCATTTTATTCTTGTTATTGCCTTTGCAAATAAGATTTCTATTTTTATAATTCACTCTTAATAAAATAATTCAATAGATAGCCAAACGTTGTATTCTTAAAAATTTATACAGTTTTCCACATATAAAATTCTATCTTATTATCCGTAATGAATTAAACATTGATAATTCATTCATAAGATGTAAAATTACTTAAATAAGTTTATAAAAATATAAATTAATAATAAGTTTTCAACAAATTATGTCAATTATTATTTATATTTAGAAAATATCAAATAGAAAACAGCTGTATGTTTAACAAATTTTAATATATTTAACAATTTCGCGCTTGAAAAAAAGTAACGTACATAATATATGGGTGTACAAAGTATAGCTATTCTTTTTATTTATACATTATACAATCTTCATATTTAGAAGAGCTCACAACTGTATATTAAAAATGCAATAATTATTGAAAAATATGACAAATGCGTATATTAATTCTGTCATTCTGTCATGAAAACATTATCATATTAACAATTATTACAATTTTAATAATGATTCTATTTTATGACCTATCTACGTTAGTACTTGCAATACATTATTTATGTACAAAATAATAATTCATAAGATAGTTATATTGATCCAAATAGTAAATAATTGAATTAAAAATATTATTTAACTTTCATTAAATAGTACGTTTTAAAATATTCCCTCCCTATATTAATTCAGTTATCGGTTTAATTTTTAAATTTTCAATTTTCTATGTATATAAATAACATGTTTAGGAAAAATTATATCTCGTATGATACTAATGAATTTAATCTTTTAAAAATTTTCAATTCTTAATTGATCAAAATATGTGCCAATGAATGATAAGATAAAAGAACTTAAAAAATAAAAAAAAAAAAAAAAAAAAATATGTAAGTACTTTTGAAAATAGGTCAACAATATGAATAAATACAAACCAATTTATACAATAGAACACTGTATTAAACTCTTAATCGGTTTGTGAACGCTTTTTATGCGGCCTTATTAATCTCTTTATAAATGGCGCCAATAATGGATAAGAAAGGAAGATAATATGTCCTATGAAGTAAACACTTCTATAAACTTTGACGTAACGCGAATATGATAATAGAGTAAAGGGTATAAGGCTATAGCCCATAAAAACAAATGTATAAATTTTAAGAATTGACCAAATTAGAAGTTTGAACAAAAAGTTTTCTTTCATAAGCTTCTGCAGTGTTTCATTTTTTACAAGTACAGGCTTGAGCTATAAAAAAAAAAAGAAAAGAAAAATTATAAGTATTGATCCAATCGAAGTAGAACCAAATACTTAATGATATACTAAATATTATAACATTCTTACATCTTTCTCCAAGTACATGATGATGAACTCCTGGAAGAAGCAAAGATAATATCCACTGTGAAGTCCGTGCCAAATGGCAAGGAAAAGTAAAGTCACAATCTGACTATAAACCTTTGAACCAAGGAACTTCAGTCGCTTGTAAATATACTCTGAACACCAATAATTGGTATTAATATTGAATGACATAATGTAATGATTGAATTCTGTAGCATTTTCAAATGTTAATAGATTTACGTTGGCACAGCCATCCCATTTTTCACAACCATGTTCATCCTTTCCGTTATAAGTTATTCCAAAAACGATGCAAACCTAATTAAAATTATTACTTTTAATGTACAGTATTGATATAGTAACATATATACAATTGTATTAATTAATATTTTCTTACCCCTTCTGTAATCAACCAGCAAGATATGTACTTGTAAAGAGTGCATCTTCCCCAAAGACCAAGAAAGAAGCAGCGCTTAATTATTCCTAATTGATCATATTCAGAACTCGTAAGGTATTCATTGGAAACATATTGAGTGCCAATTTTATACATTGCTGCATAAACAATACCAATTAATGCTCTATTTATTCCCAGCATCAGAGAATTTGGTTTTACTTTTAGTCCAGTAACATCGAGTTTCTGAAAATCGTTAATTTATTATTAGTAAATTATGAGTTACATTTGTGTATTATTATATTACTTCTACATTTAACATACTCAATTCTTAATACGCTTAATTTAATAAATTTATTATTTTACTATAAAAATTGATATAAATATTTATAAAATTTTATATAAATATAAATAATATTAAATGAATTACTAATCAGTTTATAATATTTCATAGAGTGCAATTTATTGTTAATCGTAACAAGACTATTCTACAGTTTTTAATTTTAAAGATTTTAAAATTCTAAATTTAAGATATAAATATATGCTAATTACATACTATAATATTCTTTATAATAATTTGTGGCAATTCTTGCACATTAAAAATTCTTATATACATTCATATTCGAAGAAATTGATTTATAAATTAAATAATAACCGAAGCTATATATAACTACAATATTTGCATAAATAATAACGTTAGAAGCAACAAATTAGTATTTTGTCGCGATAGAAATTAAGCGACAAATTATTGAGGCAAATTCCTAGGATATTTAAAATAAATTATTTAAAAACGCTTGAATGCATATAAATGCGTGATTACTGTTTATTCCGGAAATTTCAAAAATAAAATCATCTAATACTTAGCAAAACAAAAAAATAAACTGTTCATCGATAAAAATTATCCACGTGTGCCATAATAGGTAGAATCTTGTAATTACGTAATCAGAAGTAATGGTAAATGTTCAATCATCCTGACTACAAAAAACGAATAAAAATTAAGTTTCTTTAAACTAAAAAAAATCTAAACTAACCGCTATCTATATAAGTACAGCTATCGCTTTATTTGTCTTATAGGCTTTTCCGTCAAAAGGTTTGAAATATCATTCTCTAATAGCTAAAGATATTTATCTTCGTTTCATTTAAAAAGAAAAATTTTTAAAAATCATTCATCGACACGTAATATATTTCTAAAAATAATTATAAGCATTGCTTTCATTGAATAATCGAATGTTGATATTTATTATTATTCTTGTTGTTGTATTTATTGTTGATTGTGTAAGTATAACCGTTTTATAATGAAAAATAAAATTATAAATTTGGATCTTAGTATATTAATATTATTAAATTAATTATATGTATGATGGAATTATTTTTATATGCTTATAACTATCGGCCAAATTTTTAAATCAGACAAGAATAACTTTAACTTGTCCAATTTTATTGCAGTAGATCGAATCATCTAACTTAATCGTTAAAACAAACTTAATAATCCTCTAATTATCTCTAAATCATTATATTTTAATATTTGATTTCAATATATTTAATACATCAATTGAAATATTGTTTCAATTTTTTATATTAATCGTACAGATTATCGTCACCAATTTTATATTTAATAGTAGTCAGAATATGGCATGATATAAAAATAAAAAATTTTATAAATAAATTTGATTTATTTAAGTAAACAATTAAATTGCAGTAACTAGATTTGGAAAGTAACTTAAATTTTTAATCTATAATTATGGTTTATGTTTTGAAATTATATAACAAACGAATAAAAAAAAACATTGTACTTTAATTTTTAATATCATTTATTCTAATATAAATTCACAAACTAAGAAAATGTTTTAATACTTTTAAAATTGAATAGAAATATAAAAATTACTTACACGAAATATAAATGTATGTTTAAATAAGAGATTTACGTTCGTTTTGATTCGATCGGCTTATATAGAATAATTATAGATTTATTAAACAAACCATAATATTATATATTCAATAAGAATTAAAAAGATAAACACATACAATACATATAATAGTTATGTATAAATGTATGAAAACAATTTAGTAACTACTTTCAAAACTAATCAAACAAATTTAATCGTATAAAATTCTTAAAAGTATGCCTAATGAAAATTTAATTTTGTATAATTAAATGTTTTCAAATACGATTGAGAGATTAAGCACAATTCCATTTAATAAATGACTAAATGAACATTTTTATGATAACAGAATTTTATCTTTCATCAAAATATTTTCTTGATAATGTATATGAAATAAATTAATCATTTTTAAAACCTAAGAAAATAAATATATAGCAGATTCTTAATCAAAGTGTGATATTTTATTTTTTAATCATTAACTACGCTTTGAGTAATATCAATGAAAAATAATTAAAATTTATAGTAATTTTAAACAATTATGCGAGACTAATTATTCATAATATTTCTCGATTATTGTAGTACAAAAATTTAAAATTAATTTACATACCGCATTGCAAAATTATAACGATTTATCGTAAAAATTCAACTATTTCATTAAAAATCTAAGAATGTTACTATTTCATACCTCAATCTTAATAAATAAATAAATATATAAATATACATTCAAATGATAAATACATACATTAATTACACGAATTCGAAAAATATATACTAATAATTGAATCTTCCCGAAAGGAATCCCGAAAAAATTATAAAATTAGACTAATTTTTAACTGGTTTTAAATTAAACGATGCTAGTTTTATATTTAAGTTTTTTGTGCTATGGAACTATAAAATGAATATTTTATAAAAATTAACATTTATGTAAAATGACATTAATACATTACAAACATTCAGCTAATCTTATTTGAATTTAACTGACAATTTGGATTATAAATTTTTAAATTACATTTAAAATTTTACATGCATTTGTTTCCAAATCTGATTAAAAAATATAAATAATAAAAATTATTTTTTAATTGTTATACCACATAAGATTTCTTAGAAAAAAATAATTTATACCAGCCTTCTGACATGTTTAGCGATTATAAAGCGTTAAAATATTATTTGGCCTACATATACAAATTTGCATTCTTCAAGCAACATACGGTTTCCATGAGTTTTCCATTGACATAATCCAGGTATCGTCTCATGCTGAATTGTGGCCCAATCAAAAATGAACCGGGAAAATATACGAACGCTGTCATCTCAAGTAAAGATGGTTTTTCATGCAACATCGTTGTTTTTTGTGTATCCGATAACTTATCCTGGATAATAAATTCAATATTTTATTTAATATTTCTTTATCTCTTGTTTACAATACACATCAATAATTTATTTATATCATAATTTATATACTTCTGGTTTTGTGCTGTCGGCCAGATTAAATGAAAGACCAATTAATCTCAGAGTTAAGACGCACTGAGGCATAGTCCATTTTATATCATAATCATCAGTCGCTGTTGCGTAATATCCTGAAAATTAATTTCAAGTATTTCATTTCCAAAATTTTCAACTCACGTTTAGGCTAAATATTAACTTTACTATTATGTATTTACCACAGAGCAAATATCCCATATTAAATATGAATGTTGCGACGACAGAACTTGATCGATTCCCAAAGACTGAGAAGATCCCATACGTTATGAGTAAAGTGAAGATCGAATGTAAGATACTCCATTCTAAATAAAAAAATTATAGAAAATTACAATTCAATTATCCATTTAAAATCTTATTAAAATAATGATCAGTTTATAAAAAAGATTTACCAATGTTTAGATTTGCAAATAATTAATATAAATTACAATAAAATTTTTCTGTATTTCTTTAAAAAAAAAAATCATTTTCACACGTTATGACGGAAAAAATTATGACAAAAAGGCAATAAGATATTATAAATATAACAACGACTGTTTTAACGAGTATTCAAAATTTGTTCTCATTTTAAGCTGTGTAGTCTCTTCATAATTAGTACTAAGGATACTAAGAATACGTTATAATAAGTATATACTTTATATTTTAATTGTAATTGGGTATTTTTATTATAAGAATAAATGCGTACAACCTATTCACATGGACACGGATGCTGAATAGAAAGAAAAACTATTTTTAAGAAAATTTAATAATAAATTTTTGTAGCAAAACGCGTTAAATGTAAAAGGCCAAATTAAAAAAATTAATCTTCTCATTAAATATAATAATTTCTTATTTACTTACCATAATTCCAAAAACCAAGTACGAGACCACAAATAATAAAATAATAATGTTGGATTGTTGGATTTTTTCCATAAAGTATTTCCCTATGAAAGAGTGCAAGTGGAAAACCTGCAATTAAAATAAAATTAGTAGTAGTATTTTTTTACAATCGTTCATTTTAATTATACTGGCATTAATAACTCTTAGGATAACACGAATTTACGTTAAAAATTCACTTTCACATAAAACACTTTTGTTATATAAATATAATTGAGCTTTCATTTTTTGCTACTTTAACACTTCAAATACATAATTTAAAAGCAAATTATTATATTGGGTTAATCTATTTGGATTTTTCTACTAAATAAAAATAAATTATAATTAATAATGTAAAAAAGCTAATCACATTCCTTAAAAAAATTATGTAAATAAACAATCTATATTTACATCACATGCGTGATAATTCAACGTGCATATTATTTTAAATGCTTATATAATATAAAGTTTCAATAATGTTGAGACACTACTTGTTCTACTACTGCTAATTGTTCGAATTATTTATGCGTTAAAACCAGTGGCTTTATTTATTAGAATGTAGAATGTTATTATTATTATTTATAGCTTCATTATTTCAATGAAGACCAATTATTGTTTGAAATTAAGTACTTCATTATAACATTATACTACGTTAGAAGGAAAAAGTTCAAAGTTAAATAAATATTACTTATATAAAACAGTATTATAATTTTTTTTAAATAAATTACATATATTATTTTGGATTTCAAATATATTAAATTATATTACTTTGGTATACAATTTTTACAAAAGCCTTTTATTATTAAAGTAATGTTTAATCTAAGATGATAATATTCGCCATACAATTAATTATAAAAAACAAAATGTATTTAAAAGGAAAGAACTATATAAAAATAATGCATTACTAAATGGAGTAATAAGGTATTCTGAAAATTTATAAAATCTTTCATTCATTCATTGTTATAAACACCAACGAGTTTGTTTTCGAATGTAATTCAGTATTTAAAAATATTTATAGAAATTTATGTTTTATATTTGGATAATTTCATGTGTATAAATAATGTTTATAGATTTTTTTTTTGTTTTTTTTTTTTGTTATAAAATCAATTTTTATTGCTATTATATCTATTTTTATTTAAATAGTGCAGCAGATTAAATTCAAAATTTAAAAAATCAAGCACATTTTAGATATGACTTTTTTCATCGCTCTATAAAATACAACTTCATTTAGTTTTCTAATATTCATGATCATAAAATAATTGTTAATTTTAATAATAATAATTAGTTAGGTAATATTATTAGTTATAACGTATCCAGAACATGTAATTTTTTAACAAATATTGTTTGATATAAAAATCACTTTAACAGAATGAATAATTATTATATAAATTTTTCATCTTTTCCCATTAATTAAACATCATTAACATATCAGGAAATAAAAAAACCACGAATGAAAAATTCTAAACATAAAAACTAAAATTTTCCTTCCCGTTTTCTTACATAAACGGTTTTAATTTATATACAAGATATTTCTACAAGCATCCAATTTAGTATGTATATGTTATAATAAATTTATAATATCCGCATGCAGAATTATCAAAGGCAAGAAAATCTAATTTCAAAAGGTTAAATATTTAAATTTGACTTTGTTGAATTTCAAACTGTATTGTTTTAGATTTTATCATGTGATTTTATTCACATCTAGTCGTTATTCATCATCAATCATTTTTAATATCAAAATTAATTAATTTCTTCACTGTATATAAATAATTCAAAGTAAATAATATAATAATTTATATTACAATAAACTCAATGTTTAAAATATTAATATTAAATACATCTTGCTTAAATAACCATATGAAATAAGGATACCAGTTATATAGAATCGTTATTTACCGTTGAAAATCAGGTTTGTTAGATACCGCTATATGACTTTATAAAGGATATGAAATTCTTGTTTTATTATGATAATTTGCGAAACAACTTAGAAATGAATTATTGAGGCCAGATTAGACGTAGTGTAAAATATTAATTATCTTTATTTTCCTTTAAGTTTAACTTATTTTAAATATTGTTATAATGAGTTCTGATTGTTGTAGATACTGCATTATTGAGTTTTGCGGAAAAAAATCAGTGAATTATAGTAGAACGCATAATTTTAAATACGCATTATACTTACATTATTGACAGTTTATTCGTATGTTTGTACACATAGTAAAGTATATAAAGCGTACAATACATGAAACTAAATTTGCAAATGATTTATACATAGTAGATAACATTATAATTAAATTTTACGACAAATAATGAAATTAATTTGTTTAATGACTTTAATGTAAATAAAAATATAATTTATATTAATTTAGTTGTATTAATTTGAATAAATTTTTTATATTAAGAAATAATTAAACGTTTAATTATTTATTATTTAATTATTAATTTAGCTTAACATTTAAAAATAAGCTGAAATTTAAAAAGAATATTCGTTCTTATAAAATTCAACGAATTTCAAATTATAAAATTAATTTGTATTGATAGTTTATTTAAATTAATAACGTATAATTATTTAAATTATTTGTGCAAAATATATTTTGTTTTGATCCTGTGCATGAAATGCATATATATATATATACATATTACAGAGATAAATTATATATATATATATATATATATATGTTCGTTTCGCTGATTGACGGTAAGTCACTGTGCTAAGAAAAACGCTTAGTAATTTATTTGAAACGGATACGATTAATTTGAGACACAGCGTTTTATGGCCACTCGAGCACCATTTGAAATATTATAAAGCGATTTCTTGCTTTATTCATTTCAAGTACTATTTAAATTTCGTATTTAAATTTTAATTTTCATCGAATGATGTACGTCATCAAATACCATCGGCAAATAAAATTTATATACGTATATATATATATATATATATATATATATATCACAACTATATTTAATCAAACAATTAGATAAGCTAAAATTAACATAACCTCTGTCGTGCTAGCCATTTAACAATGAAAAGAAATAGATTTTTTTTCAATCCGTCTCTCCAACACGAAGATCGTTACTCTACGCCGATTTTTCAAATTGCTTTCATACAATCAGGCTCGTTGCACTTTTCACTATTCCACGAGTTATCGCATGTTCCAACGAGCACAAACTCAACGGCCAATCTAATAGCACGCGCACTCGTAAGGGTGGGTGGTTCGAATTACCTAAGAAGAGTGAGATGAGAAGTCGCAGGGCATCGGTTGGTACGCCGATGATGTCGGCCAAACTCTCGAGACCACCAACAATCAGCTCACCGCTGGCCATATTTCCTCGTCGCACTGATTCGTCGACGACGAGTCGTTACTCGTTACTGGCGCAGTCGGACACGAGACTCTCGAGCGCAGTCTAGCTGCCTCGAGTGGTGGTGGCCAGACACCGACGACCAGTGCGAATAATCGACAGTCGGGGGACGGAGCTATGCCGGTGAAGAGATATGAATTATGTCGTCACACGATTGCCGTACCACACTCTACTCCACGAGCGTCTCCCACATACACGACGACGCAAATACGCATGGCGAGCAACGGAGATACAAAGCGCGAAGGTCCAATTGGTTTGGAAATCGGAGCGGCAATAACGAAAGCGACATGTACCCGGGTTAAGCTGCCATTGTCGCGTTCTCTGCCCCCGACCCCAACCCCGCGGCCCCATCCGCCGGCACACCGGGCACCAACGGTCGCGGGACGTGGGCTGAGAGGGGAGGAGAATGAAAGAGATAGAGAGATAGAGAGAGAGAGAGAGAGAGATAGAGAGAGATAGAGAGAGAGAGAGAGAGGGCAATATCTAATGGGAAGCACACTAGCGAAAAGAGATGGACATATGCCAGGGTGATTTTGGGTGGCGGAAGAACGGGATGCTTGGAGCGATTTAAATAAAACATTCAGAACGACCGCAGCGAGAACTACGGTTAAATAACCAACTAAACGCCATTAAAGGCGCAACTATTATCGACTGCCGTAGGCTATATGACACGTGGGTGGAGGGTAACCGACGACACCAACACGTCACGATCGCCACCATCCCAGCGGAGTCAGTCGATCGACAAAGTTATCGTTCGTTCGGTATTTAGGCGACAACGAAACTCATCAGTGCCGTTGCTATTAAAATCCGTTAGATGTCGGAACTAAATTTATATCAAAGATATGAGTGCTTCAACGGCAATGGACTAATGCGTATGCGTGAATGTGCGTATACCACCACATTTATTTATTTCTTATGTATTAAGATTATTTATTTTGCATTATGATTTATTGATTTGTCACTGGAGGATTCAATTTTTTTTTTTTTTTTTATTATATCGACCCTTTATTTACGCACGAATTCACTCGTTGAAATTGAATTGTATAAAATGATGTTTTAATAATTAAATCAATGCTTTTAAAAAATTTTACATACTTTTTTTCGTCATTAAGATTGTATTTTTACCTTTATGTCAATTAAAATTACAAATAAATTATTATGCTTTTAACCAAAATGATGGAAAATAACAAATTTATATTTATTTATCTGTATTAAAATTTTGCGAATGTAAATAATGTATATTTTCTTTGATATATGACCACACACACATCACGCACTCACGCACGCGGGCACGCACGCACGCGCATGCACACAGGGACATGCATACACAAGAAAATAAATCTATATACACACACACACACACAAAACACACACACACACACACATATATATATATATATATATATATATATATATTATGTGCGTGCCCGCGCGCGCGTGCGTGTGTGTGTGTGTGTGCGCGCGCGCGCGAGTGTTGGCATGCGTGTGATTTTCCAATAATAATTGCATAGAAATGGGTAAAGGAAGATAGTCGATAAATAAATATGAATATTTTCGGGCGAATCCCTAATTAAGTACTAATCGTCAACGAATTGATTAATAAAATATTACAATAATACAATGACATTTATAAATAAAAATACGATTGATCGAGTATTTTATATATTATCATTAGATTGTTTCGGTAAATATGTTATAACTACTTAATGAAACTTTAAAACAAAATTTTACATTTTATAGAATATAATTTGACAGGCGTTAGCTTTCATGTGCAGTATGTATAGACAATATCTAATAATAAATTATTCAATTAATAATATTTAATATGTAAAATGCTACTGGATTGTGTAATCATTTTAGATGAAAATTGTACTCTATGCCTCCCTCCCATCTTTTTAAAATTTTAAAATCTAATGAACGTTAAATACCATTAATAGCCAATTTTTGTGAAATTATTAGTACATAATAAAAGATCTTGCATTATTGTGGAATGTTCGATGATTACAGTATAGAAAATTCTATATAAGATGATCTTAATAACTGTATATTCTTGTCATTTATTTGTATGGGTATATATAGATAAGAATTTTTTTTTTTCAAACATGAACATCGAATTTCACCCAAGAGATAATAAAATTATCCCCTTTTATGTACACATAATGGAACTTCGGACCCTCGAAAAATACTTAAACATACCCCTCCTATCTCCCAGATATTTCACTTCAATATTAGCATTATTATAATTTAGAGAATCTTTATATTTCTATTTAATTCAAATTAATGTAATACAACCTAATATTTCATAGCATTTATAGTGTTCAAACTTTTATCGTACGATAAATATTATCGACAAAACAAGCAATGAACATTTTATGCACACACAATAAATTTACAATAGATTGTAAATTCATTAAAAAAATTAATAAACATAGCCTTAAATAAATACCAACTGCTTTAAATAAATGTAATATTATAGAACTAACTGCAATCAACAAAGAAAAATAAGTTATTTTAGTTATACAAAAGATTAAATTATTTCAATATATACTTCATTTAGTTTTGGTTCATGAAATCGGAAAATAAAAAGATCAAGAGGACGTAATAGTCTTGTAAATTTCACGATCCGCTGAATTGCATCAAAAGTGAACTATCATCATTACAAAGGTTCAGATAATATATTTTCGAAATTCGATTTTGGTTTATATTAACTGGATTTATCTCGAACTTTTTAAAATTAAGCTATGCCCAAAACCATCATTGTCCAACATAATCCATTGTCGATAAATAATTTTTAATCTTTTCTTTTAAATGAGTTAATTCTTTGAACATATACCGGGAAAATCAAGTAAACATCGCTGACAATCTTTATAGTTCGAATGATTCATAACTGAGTGATAGTGGAATTTTTTTTTTCTTTTTTCTTTTGTTTTTTTAATATTATTAAAAGCTACGGTTAAAGTTCAAAGGATTTACGGGCCTGGTATTCACATAAAATATGTTGAAAAGATAAGATGTAATCAAGGGTCATTATAATTAATAAAATAATAAACCAATATTGTAAATTACGACTTTTTTAATTATATTATCGAGGGGGGGGGCGGGTATTCTTTACAAAAACAGACTGCGTGATTAATAAATAATGAAGAATAAACAGTTTCGCCTATGGCTATTATCCTTTAAAATTTTTTTTATTCATCCCCTATATCAATATAACTAATTCCTCTCGATTATACATTACAATGCGTCTATAAACTATCTATTTCCATGATAATGTAAATATTTCGTAGAAAAGATGGTATTGGTACATAATGAGTACAGTTTACAATAATTACAATTATACAATATATATGCTGAAGAATCATTGGTAATAAACTGCTTTCGAATACATATTATTGATTCGTGATATATATTAATAAATTTAACATGTACTTTGAGAAAGAAATTAATGTTTTCCTTCATGATCGAACAAATTAAATCGAATGATCTTGAAAATATGATGATTTTGTAGAGGATCGCTTAAGAAAGTAATTAGTAAATTTGCATTTTCCGACAATATTGACAAATCAATATGTCTAATTTATATCTTTAGTTTAATAGTTAATTGCTAAGATTTAGACACCAAACATTTCATTAACAATATATTATATTATACATCAATAATATATGTAGTTTTATGTTAAACAAAATTATAATATAATATCTTATATCATTAGAATAAATAGATGTTATTAATTTTTTTAATTAGAATCTAATTGATACTACTTTTTTGATAATTTAACTTTACATTAATATTTTAAATTATTAATCAATTAATAAAGCTGTATAGTATTTTTTAAACCATAGGCATTAATTTTATACAATATATTTGTAACATGTTTGTTAAAATGCTAAATCAATTAAAATTTTTTTATCTTAAATTACTAATTCTTTATTGTCTCGTGTTATAAATATATATATTAATTATTGAAGTATTACATGGAAAAAATGAGAAACAAGAAATGCGGCTGTAAATTCATTTTATTTACAGATTACACATCGCATAAGATAAACTTACATTAACAAACATTATATTCGTTTAAATTTTCAACTCGCCTTAAATCCAAATTAACTATCACAGAGTTAAAATGGTCTTGCCATTTTAAAGGTTTATTATATTTAGGCTTTAACTATTAATTATCTTTTACTTTATCTGTTAATATTTATATGTATGTTAGTAAGTTTATATATATATATATATATATATATATATATATACACACGCATAAATAAATACATATTTTTTTTTTATAAAATTATAGATATATCTTAAATAAATATTATGAAAGGTGTAATATTGATAATGTGTTAAAAAAATTATATTAATTATAATGAATTAATTATAATTAATATAAAGTTATATACATATATAGTATATTTAGGCTCATCTGTAATGTATTATTTACATCTAATCTTTTCTCTCTTAACATGCTTTTTTTTATAATGGATAACACTTTTATTTTGGCGAGTTAAAATATTAAGTATAATTTGTAGTCGTTATATTTATCTTGTATAATAAATATATTCAAAAAGTAAAATCACAGACGAGATAGTTTTATACTTTTAGAAAACTAGAAGTTAAATTATGTAGAATAAATTAATACAAAAAATTGCTGAGAAGCAGATTAGAATATGTAAGTTTTTTTTTTATGAAGTATCATATTTTACGTATATGATGTCATTCTTTATAATACAGCTTATTTTATTATTTTCCTTTGATCTTCTATTAACAATATTTCATATATTTTTATCTTGAGGAACGTTAATCCCGCGCTTTTCTCGAGTCTAATCAAAGACATTTCATTGATAAATTTTTTTTAGACACTTAAGCTTGATAGCCTAATAGCCAATAATTAAGTTAAAGAAATTAAAGATCAAAGAAAATGTTTTATAAGAACTATTCAATATTTTCCTATCACATAAGAAAGTAATGTAATACAATTGCACGTAAATAAGTTAACAAGCGACAAATGTATTATTTAATTGGTTTTTTTTTTATCCAACTTTATAATAAATGTGATTAATAAATATCAATATCGACAATGAGAAACTGTAAAATTTTATACAACACGCTTCAAATATGTTGCTCTGAATACTTTCTTCTGTGGTCTCTGTAGTTTACAATTTGCTTCATATAACTTATAACTGGATTATAACTTCTTATAACTGGATTGTTAATTATTTTTATTTTTAACTTTTTTTATTTATTTATTAATCATTATAACTATATAAAATCATACTTTTAAATATTTATACTTATTTATATTTCCTAGATTTTTCTACGCAGTAAAATACATTCTGTTTGGTCAACACTAATCCAGTTGAAAAAATATACAATATCCAGAGAAAAAGGCTATAATTATTTATAGTATTTAATTAAATGATTTCTAATAGATTTCAACATTAGTGAAAACTGGCCATAGATTTTATCAACATTTATTTTTTACAATGAATATTCGCTACCATTACAATAAATTTTATTTAAGATCATACAGCACTGTAGAAGCGCTCACCTATTTCAATTATTTGCCCGTGCTTAATAATCGAACGCATGTGTATTTTATTTATTATTATTGCGTAAGGTCAGAAACATGATCGACAAAAGTGATTCTACAAAAATATCGAGAAAATCAATAAGAATGTAAAAATCTTATTTTGACACCGAAAATATTGTCAGTCACGAATTATTCAATAGTTCTTAAAATGATAGAATTTACAACATTTGTAAATAAATTGCAAGTGCGTTGTTGGAGCATCTCTTGATCGATAATTGTACCACCAAATGGTCACCATTTTGCAAGAACCCATTTATTTTTAAGCATTGCTTATCAATTATTAAATACTTTATAGACTTATTCTTATAATTCTTTTCAAATACGTGAATAAATAAGTAACACAGGATCGTGTATCAATTTGAAGCACCGTTTGTAAATTCAGGATCAGTTATAATTTAACATAGGTACATAAGAACCTCGACATTTTATTATATTTATATCTTATATGTGACCTATTCAATTAAATAATTCCAAACATTTATAAGGTAATATTTTTAAATTTAGTATGATTTCTGAAAATATATATCATGTCAATATTAAACATGGTTTTTATATAAATTTCTAAGTGTACAATAAGATAATATCATCTATTAAATGGAATAAAATGCTCATTGTTAATTGTATATAAACTTATTTTTTACTTTCATTACTATTAAAAAAAAAAAAGAAAAAAAAAAGAGCATTTAATAAATTTATAATAATAAAGTAAAGATTTATCAATGCCATCATAACTTTTCTGTGGGCTCCTTTAAAAGTCCTTATCTATTCATTATCTTAGATTTATTGTTCTGCTTTGGGAAATTAATAACTGAACCTGAAATTAAAAACTCTATGCGGTTGACGTTTGTTCCAGCCTCTCACCTCCCCCCTCCCCCCTCCCTATCCCGCACGAATCGCTAATGCAACAAATATATATTTCATAAACCTTACGTTAGCAAATACGAGACACGATTTGAATAAGAAACAAACTGTCCTTGGAAAGTTGATGAAGGTACGTTTGTACACATCTCCATAAAGTGTGCAATAAACAAGCACCTGAGTTAACTTTGGCAACGGCACGCCACATATCATGGGAAATTCAGGCGCATTAAAGGAAATGAATTCGATCAGGTATGTATGTTTAGTTCACAAATCAATGACAAAAGTGCTTAGCTCAGGGGCGTGGTAGAATTTGCGATCGAGCGGATAGTTGAGGTTGCTAAGGATATTACGGAGGTCGCCGTCGCAGCAGTTGTCGTCGCGGCCTTCGTTGCCACCTGGATTGCCGTCTCGGTCGCCGTCTTGGTTACGGTCTTCGCGGCAGCGCTCATCAGTGGTGTCGTCATAATTGTTGAATTAAAGCTGTCGTTGCTTATGACGGAAGTCAGACTCGAGTTGGAGGGCTGACAGTAAGTCATGACGCCTCCGTGGGCGCAAGAAGCCGATGACGTATTATTGAAGATGAGTAGCAGGAGGCCCGAGACAGCGGCGAAAATGCCTGCCATTAGCAGACCGAACGCTGGAAGCTTCTTCGGGGAGAGGAGCGGACCATCTTCGAGTTTGAGGTAGCAGAGAGCTGGTAGGACATAGGCTAGTGGCACCGCAGCGAGGATACCGTTCAGCTCAAGGACGATTCCAAGACAGTCCGTCGACATGGAGATGAGGTATGCTACCGAGATTATTGCCATAGTGATTATCAGGTACTTGCGGTCCGAGCCAGCAATATAAGCATCGTGGTTCTCGACTTCGTCTGTGCCGCGTATTGCGGTCATTATTACCTAATTACAAGACGAAAACTTATAATTAAAAATTCACTTATAGTCGCCACATTTGCATAGTTATGGAGAAGTGGCTAACGACTGGATTCCTACAATAATTAATTCTTGATTTACTTAAGTCATATAGATCGAGGTGCAATTTTGATCGATGAATATATCGATTATTGTATATTATAGAAATCTCGGTAATCTTCATTAAAATTGCAACGACAATTAATTATGACTTTGATTAATTAAAAAATGCTTAATTTTTCACGTCACTGATAATGCTTTTATATGCTAATTTTTATTTATAACCATTATAAATTTTATCGACTCATATTATTTAATGAAAATTGCATATAAAAGAGTTAATTTACTCACGTTTTATATACTTAATTTTAATTATTGTTTATTAAATAACAGGATTGGCCTCTCAATTTAAATACATTAATAATAGAATTTTAATTATTAGAAATACCAAAGTTTGCAACTTATTTTGTATGCAAATATTTACAAACTACACAATAATAATAACTGTGATTGTTTATTTTAAGCAATCAAGTGTTTCACGAACCAAGATAGACTGAAGAGCTCAAACGATACGTAAATATAAAGATAAAAAAGAAAAATGTACACGTTAAATTTCCATTTACATTTTAATATTCGAGTACAATAATGAAATTGGACTGGCCTGTCCCGTTTTACAAATCGAACTTTAAAATTTTAAAAAGCAAAGCAGTATTATAAAAAGTTGTACCTCTCGTGTAACGAAGCACTCGATGGGAAAAGTAAGCAGAATCGTGCCTGAAAACATAACTCTCGAGAAATTCATGAGGTCATCAGTCCAGCAGTAGTTTTCCATAAGATCACCCTGGACATAGCCGGTAAAGGTCGCGTAGCCAGCGATGCCGAACGCCGCGGCAATGAGGAAGGACGTAAAGAGGGACCAGTGCGTGACGACATCCCATTTTTCTTGCGTTGCACGCTCGATCGAACCGTAGATTAGAAATGTATTGTGATGGCACATGAAGGCGAATGCCATTATGCCCACCGATGGGATTATCCCTGCCAAATTACCGAATCTCCAGCTATCCGGGTGACTCGGCCTGCCAAACATTCACATAAATTTTGTTTAAGCTATGCAATTTTTAAACCAACATTTTTCATTTACGTCTCTTTTCACACCACGCCTATGGTGCTGATTGTAACAAACTTCTCAATTTAGTCCTCCATTTAGTCGTATGGAGATCAAGAAATGATAATACAATATTATGGCTACAAATACATCGATTTATTATTATCAGCAATACTAGATAAATTATTCTTCTATTTTGAATTATCGAGTTGCATTTAGGTTAAATTATGGACATCGATGAAAACACAGACTTTCACAAGTCAAAAATCAAAGCATTAACTTAATACGACGTGAAATAAAAAATATCAAATAAAATCCATGTTATTATGAATAATTAAATTATGTAGCTAATTGTCGTAATTAAAAAATATTTATACACTTTAAGTGCTACTCGTGTAGTAGTCTTATTAAATTATAACTAACGATAAAATTCACTTTTAACCAAAAACTGTTCTTTCAAGTATAAACATTATTCCAATTTTTAGCAAAATTTACAGAATTAAATAACGTTTCATTCGTTATTTTAATAATTTTAATTATCTCTTGATTTTTACGATTTAAAAATGAGAATCTTACATTTCCATATATGTAGTGACGGTTTAATTTAGGTTTTATTTATAAAATTATGATATGAATGTAACAACTTACACAATTGAAGACATAGAATCCATCCTGATGAAAATTGCTAGGAGAATGAAGCCAACACAGACTAACGATAGAAATGAAATTTTCGCTAAGCGAGCGACATTTCGGTATAAGCAGAGTGGAATCACGACTAAAAGCGTCGCAAGGAAGATAACAAATTCTCGTTTAACAATGAAATTATCCTTTCCTAGTCCAGTTACGCGAATAAGAACCTTCGTTACCGTGTCACCCACAACGACATTGTATGACACCATTGCTGAAATTAAATATTTACCAATACATAACTGTACATTCTTCGTTCGTAGTGAATAATAATATTGAATTGTCATGGCAAATTAAATTTTTACTCTTTGCCTTAATATAAATCCAATGAAAAAGATGCTTGTTAACGCAATAAATGCCGATGTCAATGCTCTTTAAAATAACGGACTTTTCAAAAATTCGTCATTTAAAAGTCGTAAAATAGAATTTTTGTTGAAATATAATGATATGCATCGAACGTGCAATGCACATAGCTCGTGAAACGTACCGATAAATGGATAAACAAACTGTAGCGCAGTCAGAATATAAAAGCCAGGACGTCCGAAGCTAGCCCGCATTAAACCTTGATAACTCATTTCGCCGCACAAATGTCCACTCCTGACCATCAAAATTAGAGAGTAGTCAGTAAGTACTGCGACGATGATCAAAAGCGCAATTCCAAGTCCAAAACCTGCCTGATGAAGCGCATACGGGATACCTGGAAATATAACACAAGTATCGACTTTCATTATGTCTTTGGCTTATAAAGAACAAACTAATAGTTTCATTAAACTTTCATTAAAACAACATTCGCCTTCAAGGGAGAAAAAAGTCGAATAAAAGCATTGTGATTAAAATATGCGGTTGTACGCATTTAATTAAAACTTGGGTATGTAGTTCAAGTGCATGAAATAAACGATGAGAATTTAGAGAGGCGATAAAAATAAAGGATGGTAGTGCCTTACCGATGACGCCACTTCCTATAATAGAATTAATGAAGTTAAAGCTGGCAAGCGGTAGGCTCGTGAATTTTCCAGAGTCATCCTCATCCTCCTAGAAGCAAAGACAAATTCAGAGCGAGCAATTCGAGAATAGCCGTGATGCTTGACTGATCTTGGTTAAAAGGGAGCGTCGGAGCATAAGGGAGCGTCGGAGCATAAGGGAGCGACGGAATTTTATGGGGAAGACGACGGGTGAAGGCATTTTTCAAGTGAAATACGAGTTAGGCCGAACACAATCGATTGTTTCACGCATAAAGCAATTTTAACATGATCGCAGCCACATAATGTTATGCAACGAAATGCTTTGGCAAATTTAAGCCGGTTAACGAAAAAAAAAAAAAAAAAAAAAACGAAAATACAACGAGCTTTTGTATGTCGTTTTCCATTAAAGTCTGTTCGACTTTTATTTCATGGAAAGAAGTTTCTTTATGATATAGATATATTTTTATAATAAGCACCGTTGCCATTATTTTTATAACAATGCTTTTTTATTCTTGTTATTTCAAATAGTTTTAAAAACAATTAATACATTCACGCTATAAAGTAGTTCACAGAAGTAATAAAAATTATTTGTTTACAACTATTATTAGAAGCGCATGCAAATGTAACGCGCTATTTATTTCAACTGTAAATGATATTTCTATAGTATTTTATTATTGAGTAGTACATATCACTTGAATAAATTCTTTTATAAAAAAATATTTATAATAAAGATTTTGCATTTATATACAATGTTAAATTATACTATAATGTTTTGATAAATAAATCATTTTTAACGTTTAATCATTAATTTCAATTTTATATGTATATAGATGTCTGTAAATCGTAAGACTCACTTTACATTTGAATTTATATTTGAAGTTTCAAGAGAATATTGATGAAATGAAATAAAAAAAAGTACTATAAAAGATCAATAAGTCACCTGACAATCGCTTTCCCATGCATACTATTACGAGCAATTAAAAATTAAATATTATAGTGATAGAAAAAAAAAGGATAGTAATATTCTATCTAACTTAATTAATTAATATATTTTTATTGCAGATTTATAGTAACATATTTTAATATACTAATTAAATAATCAATGTTTTCCTCTTAAAATTGCATTGTACTCTCAAACCACAAAACTTTAAATACTATAAAAATTATCTAGTAAGGATTCCTATCGATATCAGTGTATTATGAAAACATCGTAATTAAAAAAGATTACCCGTACATTAATCACTTATGTGCTTACTAAACTCCATCAACCCACTCTCACACACACACACACTCACACACACACACACACACACACACACACACACACACACACACACACCCATATATATATATATTGTTATTTTGCAAATTGTTAAAAATTTGAATTTATACGAGCATCCAATAGAGTGCGATTCAATATCAATTCTAATATTATAAGCAGAAATTTTGAAAACATTTTTCATGAATCTTAATGATCATGGCATTTAAACATTAATATTTATTAAAATATTAAATAAATAAGTAATGTTTACTCATGCTTTAATTCAAAATATAATTCAAAACATTATACTTCATAATCAATGATATTGTTTTTAAATTAATGTTATCTTGATTAATTGATAGTATTTTCATCCACTAGAAAACACATTTTCCAAATGACACAAATATATTGATTAATACAATTCGTTAATTATTTTATCAGCCCGCACATGCGATGTTGTCGTAGAATATTAAAAGGGAATAATGGTTCGTTAATTTTCCGAATGTAGTCTTCCTTGGAAAAATCGATTCTCTGAACGGAAAATTTATTATTTCCCTTTATTCTAGTCTCAAACTCCAAACAATTCTACACGTCACGCTCAAATAATCTTTTTGTAAGATCTTGATTAAATTCAATGTGTAGAATATTTCACTTGAACTGCATATAGTTTACGACGACGACGACACATGCACAAAATATTTATTTAGGCTTGAATAAAAATACATTTTAATTATGTTCGATAATTGCTGTTGCCAAGGAAAAGTAGTAGTAGTAGTAGTAGTAGTAGTAGTAGTAGTAGTAGTAGTAGTAGTAGTAGTAGTAGTAGTAGTAGTAGTAGTAGTAGTAGTAGTAGTAGTAGTAGTAGTAGTAGTAGTAGTAGTAGTAGTAGTAGTAGTAGTAGTAGTAGTAGTAGTAGTAGTAGTAGTAGTAGTAGTAGTAGTAGTAGTAGTAGTAGTAGTAGTAGTAGTAGTAGTAGTAGTAGTAGTAGTAGTAGTAGTAGTAGTAGTAGTAGTAGTAGTAGTAGTAGTAGTAGTAGTAGTAGTAGTAGTAGTAGTAGTAGTAGTAGTAGTAGTAGTAGTAGTAGTAGTAGTAGTAGTAGTAGTAGTAGTAGTAGTAGTAGTAGTAGTAGTAGTAGTAGTAGTAGTAGTAGTAGTAGTAGTAGTAGTAGTAGTAGTAGTAGTAGTAGTAGTAGTAGTAGTAGTAGTAGTAGTAGTAGTAGTAGTAGTAGTAGTAGTAGTAGTAGTAGTAGTAGTAGTAGTAGTAGTAGTAGTAGTAGTAGTAGTAGTAGTAGTAGTAGTAGTAGTAGTAGTAGTAGTAGTAGTAGTAGTAGTAGTAGTAGTAGTAGTAGTAGTAGTAGTAGTAGTAGTAGTAGTAGTAGTAGTAGTAGTAGTAGACAATTTGGCAATTTGAGATAGTCCGAAATATTTAGTAATGCGCGTCGGTAGCTAAATTTAAAAATTCATAGATATTTACTTAATGACTGATGACTTTTGTCCTTGGTCAGGTCACCGATAAAAGTAATTGAGAGTATTATTGACGTTACACCCTCCCATTTCGCTAATCTACTGATAATATGATAATGTATGATAATGTAATAATATCTAATGATGGATCTGATCATTTTATGTAAATGCAAAATGGGCTATGAAAAATAATTTGAAAGATTTGATAAAGAAAAAATCTGAAAAAGATTTTCATAATATACTCAATTCATAATAAATATATGGTAACAAATAAAAAACGTATTATACTCAAATAATAGTAAAATAAACTCGCTGTTCGATAACGAGTAAAAAGTTTCGTCAAACGCATGCAGTTTTATCGATGCACAAAATTTTAATGACGTCTGCTTTTAAAAGTGTTCTGCTACGAATTTAACATTAAATAATGTCTTTGTAAATTTTTATCTTCTTTTTGTCTTTTTGGCATAAAACTTTGAATCACAAATCATCTTAGTTAATTAATTTATTTAGTCATCGACATTATCTTGTATTAATCGTGGCAATAGCTATTTGCATTTCTCTCGATTAATCGCCAATTCGCATTATCTTCAGACACGAATACGAGAAAGAAATTTATAAAACTTATAAAAGAGATATTTATAACCAACGATAAAAAACAATTTTTTGTAAAATTTTACATCCTCGTTAAAATAACATTCGTGTTTAATACGATTTTAAGCATTTTGGTAAATTTTCATCCTCATAATTCTTTCATAACAATCGGCCTCTAATCGAATGTTATTTCAGTAAGATATCCGTTATTCTGTGTAATAATAATAATAATGATAATAATGATGATGATGATGATGATAATGATGATAATAATGATAATAATGATGATGATGATGATGATGATGATGATGATGATGATGATGATAATAATAATAATAATAATAATAATAATAATAATCTACTACTTTCAAAAAATGCTTACGAAATGATTTATTAATGAACAATAAAACAATTATAAATCCATGCAATTTAAAACGGCTTTTTCATTTTGCACAACTAATATCTTCACAATAATTTAAACAAAGCATATATTACACAATAGATATATTAGCAGCACAGTACAACTTTCATATTATAGCTTTATCTTTCAAAGCACACGCACAATTAAATTATGCTATCGCGTAATAGTTATTACACAATCTGAAAGTGCAACGTAGTTGCATAAAAGTTACCCTTTATATCTTTAATCGTCAACGCTTATGCAACGCGATAATTACAATAATATTAGCTTAACACCAATAAATGTTGTCAGCAAATATTCAATTGAAACGCAAGAGTGAATCGGAGAGCAAGGTATCGATGATAATACACGGCACTTAAGTGCTAAATCCCACGCGCTCAATTCAAGAGATTAGCTTTTTGTGAAAATATATCCGATTGGTTGACGTTGGAAGCCAATATTAAGCATAAAAGCATCGCAAAACTCTCATTGTTAATATCTCAATTATCGAGCAATCGAGTGAAATCATAATCATGCGATAATCAAAGTCGACAAGTCTGCGTGCGTCTTACCCTAACGAGCTGCCGCATGTCGTCGAAGGAGTCCTCGGAGCCGAGGCTGCCTCCCTGTCGAAGTTACAATATATCACTCTTAAAATCCTTGGGCGCGATAAAGTGACGATGGCGATAATTAATAGAGGCTAATAGGGAATGAAGTTGGAGCGGCTACAGCGCCAGGGCTCTCGAGAAAAGTCCCGGGGTTGAAGCGAGGTCGAATCGCGACAGGGATGAGCCGCTACGGGTTTGGAAAAATTCGCCAAGAGGCAGATCGAAGTCGGTCGGTATCGCGCCGCGACTGTCCCTAGCGCACAAGTAGTCACGTTCACCTGTTGCTGCGCATCGCCGTGACGCGATGCTGCCACTAGGATACTACGGGGCCACTTGTCGCTTCACGTTATCGTGACTCGCGATCACTAGCTCACCTGGCCAAAAATGCTCATTATTTTCACTGGTGTTGGGATGGAGCGTCGTACGGAGGGGTTGACGGGCAACCGAGTGACGCAGTAACGGCCGTTACTCGACTGGGCCACGCACTAGCCTCTATCCTAGAAAGGTAAGTCGTGGAGTCGCGGCGTGGGAGCCGTGATAGGAGAAGGATGAGGAGGAGGAGGAGGAGGTACCGTTTGGCCGCGTACGCCTCCTCCCAAGCGTAACTCGGCCGGCGCCGTTTCCTTTTCATTTGACTTTCTTATTTTCCTACGACGCGTTAATCTCGTTTCTCGTCCGCGGCCGCACTTTCCTCCGCTGATATTTGACGCACCGTTTTATTGGTTTCGCAATTGTCGAACAGACTAATTATCTAATTCAATTAGGTGCCTAGGATGCTAGTCTAACTTTTATAATTATGTCGTCGCTCGGAAAACAAAGGGATTATTGTTTTTGCATGTAATTAGCTCTATGGACGAAGACGGACACAACGAAGGTTACTTACGAAGGAAGAAGTCCTGACATTTAACGAGGAAAGGGAAGTCGATATAAATGACGTTCGGTGTATTGTTATAGTTTTTGAAATAAAACGAAACAAAACTTTTTCTTCGCTCGTCATCATTAAGTTTGGAAAAAAGTTTTTTACGTTATTTTCTTGAAGTCGCTAAAGTTGACCTATAATAGTCGAGCAGTTATTATTATTATCATATATATATATATATATACACACGATCGCCTAATTTGGATTTGATCGTAATACAAAAACATTTTCCAAAGTGAGAATGGCTTCGTGAATTTGTATACACTACTACAATTATAAATTATTCAAGGTAGGATATACAAAGTGTTTTTAATTTTTATAGCAATAATATTTATGGTCGATTAATAAATACGGTTGACTCGTGTTTTCAACTATCAATGCGATTGATACTATGATTTGGCATGGCAAATTGAATTTAAAAATTTCAGATGATTGAACGAATGTCAAATCGTATGAGCATTAAACTTGTTTCTCGACTAATTTTATGCTTGTTGATACTAATTTTTAAAACAAAAGTATTTTGTCTATATACTACACGATTGAAACGATTGGAAAATTTTTACTTTTTATAAAATATTTCGGTAAAGCTCGGATCGCTCGCAATAAATAATTCTATAACAAACCAGTCGTTATTAAACTTCGAATTATTGTTAGTTAGTGAGATTGTTAGTTTGTAAGTAAAAGCAGTTTAGAATGTAGTACAAGCAATATTTTCCAATAAATATTTTCCATTCCTTCATTTTCTCTAGGCATTTGAAATCGTTTCATAAATTAAAAAGTAAAACCAAATTTGCTAGAGAGTAATTTCATAATAATTAATAATATATGATCTGCTATTGATTTTCTCATTCTATACTTTATGTATATGTTAAAAGTTAAGCCAGATATTTGGTTTATAAAATCATGACTCAGCTTTGCATTGCACTTCAACTCCTTACGATAAATTGAATTTACCTTTTTCTTAAAATTATTTGCCGAAAAATATATTCGATTATATTCGACCGACCGAGCATTTTATTTTTTCATCGTCTCTGAAATGATATCGAATTAAGTAAATATGAATTAATGGTGAAAACGTTTACATTCTCATATCCAAAGTATCATTTTGGTTTTGTCATATAATAATTGTAGTTCCTAACTTTATTAAATAACTTCGTTACGAACATGAAAACGATCGCAGCTAACTTTCTAATAATAAACTCGAAGCAATTGACGAGAGTCAAACTTTGTAATTTACTTTATATGATTGTGATGCACATGAATTTAATTAAAAAAAAAATATATATACACAGATATATATATATATATATATATATATATATATAATTGCTTAAATTTAGACATCATTGTTCCAATGTGCAAATATGGTTTGTATCATTGAACTTTCAGTTTCGAGATAATCTGTCATCGGCTAATCCTCATATACTTAACGAAATTGATTAACGAAGCTATTAGCGAATGAATCATTTATAACCGAGAAAATGCCGTTTAATCATGAGCGTTGTACACGCGGCGCCTGATTCGATTGTTATTATCTATGGTTATCGTACGTAGATGAGAAATTTTGACAGACATTTGTAAGTCGTTAAAGCCCAAGCATTGTTTGATGCATATGCCCGAGGAGTCGCGTTTTTCCGGTTTTTTCGCTTGCGCCTGTGCATCAAGATGCCAAGATCGAATTACTGCTCCAGGAATTGAATCCTAATACCGCAGCGGCGGCGACGGCGGCGTCGGTGGCGTCTACAACGGCACGGGGACGACGACTCACTCGCGTTGGGCGGGGAGGAAATGGAGGATCCGGATAACCAATATGGGACCGTGAATTGACAGCCTCTAAGCATTGTACTACGTAAGATTCTTTTATTTCGTTGCGTGTGAGAAATTTATTTACGAGTGGCAGATCTGGAGCTCCCTTTGTACGATAGCAAAGTGATAACGTCAAAACAACTCAACGAATCTCTTTTTCAGGGCGGCTAATTACCTTTTGATGGTATATGTTGCATAATTCTGCTGGCTACATTGAAAATAACCGTATCGTAACTTTGCATTCGAGTAAGAAATATTAGGATGGTTTAGGTGCTCGATAGCGCACAGACATTAGAATTATTTGGCTGGACGCTTAAACTATTTCATTTCCATTTTTTGATCAATCTTTACGAGCAATTATTCATAGTGTTTACAAATAACGTTAATATCCTGCATTAACGGCTTTCAACTTCGCACGCTCGAGCTCATGCGAGTGTTTCAAACATATGTTTGATCGATAAAATTCAATAACATCGACGTAAAATAGTAAAATTTCTAATCGCGATTTAAGTAAAAATGATGAATGACAGCATGTACGTGTCTCCTGCCTGGCTAAAGTAATATAATTGGAAATATCAAAATTTAACAATATTACAATAACAGAGTGAGTGACTCGCGTGATCGGCTATGTCCCGATAAAAGTAATCGGACCGATTAAAGAAAAGCTGCACAGACAAGTGCGGAGACCTCGGCACAAGCTTAACTGTCCGTTCACTCGGTAATCGTCTCCGACCATTAGCCCGGCGATTATTAATCCTAGTGAGTAGTCCGCGTGCGTAACGCCGCAGTAATTAAAGATCCGACGATGGGCGACGCAGCCCGAGATAGAAGAAAAATAAGCTTCGAGCTGAAAAGCAACTCACGTCCTCGAAGGGCTTCCTCGAGTCGAGTATGTAGCTCTTCTCGTTCATGGTCTTCTTGGGCTCGGCGCCCTCCATGCTGCAGCTTTACGGGGGCGAGCGTCTCGAGCTATCAGTAGATACGGTCGTGTCGAAGTTCCGACCAAGAGGGAGGAAGGTTCGACAGTCGATTACAGGAGGGGCTGGTTGGGGGGAGGTCGAAGGGACAAACCAGTGTCCGCGTCACGAACGAAATGCGAGCACCGACTGGACTAATGAACGGGTGGCCGTACGACGGCGGCTCGCGCCTTCGTATCTTTATTGCCGATACGCCCACCTCCTCCACGGCGTCGGCTACTCGCCGCCCACCCCCGCTGCCCGTTCGCGCCACCGTTTACTTCTCTCTCCTTTCCTCCCTCTCACTCTTTTGT